TATATATATATATAGGTAGAGGTTTCTAATTGTATAATACAAAGATAGTTAGTACTCATTATGCCACTAAGTAACTGTAAACCGCTTGTCAGGTTTTCTAAAACTAAAATGACAAAATTGGGCTAAATTATTTTTGTTTACTTCTACTTTAAAAAGTCTTATTTTATGTAAAGCAGGTATTGATTAAATGGAGAAATACATCATGTTCTGAATGACAATACTCAGTATTGAAAGGAATCACTTTTTCCCAAATCAAAAGTATATAATTATTAATGAATTTCTAATCACTAAAAAGGAGGGAGCTTTCCCCCTTGTTCTGGCCTTTTACAGGCTAACGCTAACCTGAAAGATTAAGCAGGCAAGAATATTTCTGAAAATTTTTTGAAAGAATGCATTATATAATATACTCGAGGCATATTTAAAAATTTCTGTAATTGACAGCATACTGCAGAAGAAAAAAATCAGTGATAACCAAACTTTTTATTCATAGCAACTTTGATATTGTAGTCCAGTAGAAATACCTAAGGTTATAGTTATTACATAGTCAGGTCCACTGTGAAGGGATTCCTAAGATTGTCTCCGGGTTTTATGATTTACTAGGAGGACTTAACGTGGTTAAGATTATTACAATAAAAGATTATACAGCAAAATCAAAAGAGAAAAGGCTTATGGCAAAAGTCCAGGGGAAGCCAAGTACAGATTTCCAGGATGTCCTCTCAATGAAATCACATATTAGATGCTTAATTCCACCAGCAGCAAGTTGTAGCCACACATGTTATCTCCCCAGGGAAGCTCAGTAGCGACTCAGTATCTTGGCCCAGCAGGGATAGTCATATATGCATCCCCTCCTTGGCTTATACCAAAATTCTAGACTCCCAAAAGAAGTTATTTAGGCTAATTTACCACTCTGTTAGTACAAACAGTTTGTGTGGACTGCTTAGGCAGAGTAGCTGTGCTTTATTGTTAGGGAATGATAGAAACCCTGCCAAATCCATGGTTCTAGACTCTAGCCAACATCCAGCCTTTTTAGCAGGTCTGCTATATTAACTCTATAGCATAGGTCCATGCTACTTAATAAGATCTTAAACACTTATTTAAAAAAGAGTGTTCATAAAGTTAAGGAAAAAGTATTTTTATTTCTTAAATAATCATAATTGCTTACTAATGAGAAATGTATATATACTAATTACTGCTCAATTTCTGAAGCCTTGGAATCAGATAGCTGTCCTCATTTCCTGTTTCACGTTGGTTATTACAACATCCTCTGTAAAGATTTAACTTCATCAAATCAAATACAATGTAACTTTATCTAATGTTAAACTGTAACCTATGCCAGTAGTTTTCAAAGTGTATAACAGATGTTAAGGGAGCCCCTTGTCAGAGAGTTTGGTACCATGGTTAAAATAGTAATGCTAGCATATTCACAAATGACTGGAGCAGGGGGAAATTAGTTAATGCATTTAACAGCATTGATAATATTTTTTAGTTTCTTCTAATTTCTCTAATATAGTTTTTTAGTTTCTGTATACTAAAATTGTTTTATGTTAAATCACAGAATTTTCAACTTTTTAAATTGAAAAAAAGAACGTAATTGTCTTGTAGTTTTTCTGAGTCTCTAGAGATAGGTGTAACATTGTAACTTAAAGTGCTATGGATTTCAGTGGAAAACATCACCAAATTTGACTACATGAAGATCATGTGATAAAATAACCAAACATAAGGCCAAGGAATAAGCCAACAAGAATTAAGTCAATCCATGTAGAAAGAGGCTACTATCTTTGTTTTAAAAGATTCCCCAAACAAATTTTAAAAATCAGTCAACAGTGTAAACACAATTCACAAAAGGCAATAAAAGTGACAAACATGGAAAAATGTTTAAACTCAGTAGAAATGCCTGTGAAGATCATTTTTATTTAACCTAATCGACAAAAATAGTGGTAATAGCAAATAGACTACAAGTGAAATGACAATAGCCTTATATTACTGGTAGCATTAGACCTTGAAATTACATCATTCATAAGCTGTTGGCTAAATGTCCATTAAGTGCCATACACATATTTTTTGCCTTTTAGTTACTCAATCCTGCTTCTAAGAATTTATTGTAAGGAAAGTATGCAGACTTTATATATAAATAGCTCTTTTATGATTCTATTTACCACCCTCCTTTTTATATTAGTGAGAGATAGAAAGCAACCTAAATACCAAAAAAAATACAAGTCAGAAAAATAGGTCTGGTTACATGATGAAATATTTTGTAATCTTAAAATTGTTTAGAAAGAAAGGGAAATATCATGGATAATGCTTACAAAATGTTAAATTAAAAATCTGCATAAATAATTTTATTCTGTGTTACTTATGCATCTGTTTACATATATAGCTATGTAAAAATAGTTAAGAAAATTGAAATACAAAATCATAAGGTCAAGCTTGGAACTTTTATAAAGTGCTGAAAATATAGATATTTTTAAATTTTTCAGTTTATATGTATCACCCTAATGTTACTTTTATAATTTTTAGTGATTAAAATAAGCATACTCATCTGTTACTCTTGTGACACACTTGTGCTCAGCAATAACTAGTTCTCCTAGCCTTCTAAACAGGTAAGAACAAGCCAAAGTAACTAGAAATGGCTTACAGCATTAAGTGGATGAGTGTGTGACACTTTCAGCCAAAGACAATGTCATGCTCAGTTTTTTTAATCTGGTCTTGTTCCTTCTGGGGAAGTGACTCATTAGTACAGTGGAACTTCTCATATCCAAGGTTGCTGAGGTACTTAATGGAAAGATACCAACTATATCAACTCTGCATAATTACCATATTATACCAATGAGACTTGATTGTGATTGTAACTGCAACATTATCTTAATTATTTTCACTGAATCAGCAGTGGCCTACAAAATGGGTTCAGTTGTGGGTTAATGCTGTTAGACATTTTGTTTATATTTCTTTCTTTTTTTTACCTAATAAATAAGAAATGAAGCTACTTAGCAATAATGTGTACAGGTTGATAGTGGCATTCTGAATCAAGAAGGTAGATGTTTGTGCATCAGACACAGTATACAAAGGTATCCTGAAAGAAAAGTGAAAATCCACAACATGTAGAAATCTATAGTGATTCTCTCATTCATTCTTTTGGTTTTAGTAGTAATTGAATTTACAGTGTCATTTAATTTTCACCAGACTTCCCCTAAAAGAATAGTTAGGCAAGGCCCTCCCTCGTGGCACAACAGGTTAAAGCACAGTAGCACAAGTTCAATCCCCAGCCTGGGAGCTGACCCACACTGCATGGCAGACCTCTCCTGACCCCTGTTGCTCCCCTCAGCAGTGTATTTCAGTACCAGTACATCTGCCTGTTCTGCTCCCCTCCCTGTCTCTGGTGAATCCTCTCATAACCCACACCTCTAGCCTGTATCCAAGTTCTGTATGCGTAAATAAATAAATCTTAAAAAAAAAAAAAAAAAAGCTAGGCGGCATAAATCTCTTGCAGTAAAACAGGATAATACTATTAATGTAATCACTATCAACCACGAGAATGTTATAGAAATGATACTTCTACTTCTAGTTCTTTCTTACAGATATATTAATGAGATGAAAAGAAATACGGGCAAACCATATCAGATAGGAAATTGCCCTCCAAAATTTGAAATTATCAGGAAATTTTTTGAAATACTGATTTACTTCTACTTTTATTAGCAAAACCCTCACCTTAAATGCATATAGTGCTTCAAGATATTAGGTGATAGTATGAAGTCATCAGTCACCAGCAATTTTTCCAGTCATTTTTAAAGTCACGTGATTATTCATGACTTAGAAAATTTGACAAAACATAACAAATATAAACCTTTTGTGGATGGCTTATTGGGTGAAAATATAAGTGTCTCAGACGTATCTTGGTGTTAAGAGCATTTCCTAAATTGCATTTAATAAAATGCATAAAAATCATTTTTGTAAATCTCTGAAGGAAACAGAATAAACATTTTCAAAGGAAAAATTCCTTCTTAAAAATAAAGTCACCTGGAAAACCAAAATTATAGTCGTTATTAGAATGTCTGTTTTGATGGTGAGAGAAAGGACTGACGGGTTAAGAGTATCAAGATAGCTTCCCACAAATGGACTTACTGAATCATTCCTTGGCAACCCCTTGAGACAAAAAGTTAAAGCCTTTTCTAAAGGTCAGTCATTTAATATCATTGGGTATGACATATCATGACCGTAGGTCTATTGAAATGATACCTGTTCTCTGGTATTTCTAGAATTCAGTTACTTTTGAATTAAAATATTAACTAGGACTGTATTCAGGTAAACATATCAAAGAATTCATCTCCCTCCAGCACATAACTTAGATAAAATGCCAGGGTAATCAAGACTATTATTTTAAACAAAATACTTACATTTCATATAGAGTGAGGGTGACCCATGAAAGTTTCAAGTTCTTTGGAAACCTTTCAGTTAAGGAAACAAATTATATTTTAAAGTCAGCACTGTTTTTTATATATTTTTCAGATCAATATTGAACTGTGTGGGTTGTTTGGCACAAAACAAATTGTAATTTCTCATGCTTCTCAAACTGTTAATCCAGCTGAAAGCACACCTAGCACAGTCAAAACGTTTCTCTCCAAACACTGTGCTGAACACCCTGACAACTGGGATGATCACCTGTCAGCGCTTTCTTTTGCCTTCAACATAACTCACTTGGTATGTGCCTTTATATAATTCATACTTTCTTAAGTTGTGACATTTCTGGGCTACATAAATGTTTTATTATAAATTGCTATTTATTTTCCTTAAAATAGGAACCTACTAAAAATACACCATATTTTCAAATGTTTAACCGAAATCCCTATATGCCTGAGACTTCAGATATTCTTCGTAAAGTGGATGGTGATAATACAAGTACATTTGCCAAAATTTTAGGTGCAATTAAAGAAGCTGATGAAAAAACGGAAAATAAGACAACTTCAGCAGGCCAGGTGAGTCTTTCTAATAGAAGTGCTATAATCTAAAAATCTATGAAGTGACTTTAAAAAAATTCAGAAAGTACATATATACATGCATGTATATAATGTATCCATTACCAAATTTTTCTGTCATATTCTGTTTCTCTTGATTAAACTGAATACTTATTTAACTTTGAAACTCAGAGAGATAATGGGAAAACTGGCTTTAAAAATTTGTTTTGAAGTAGTATTGCATTATACCCTAAGTTTCATGTTTGCATCATTAAAAATCAGCATGTATATACTACACTGTAAGTTCATCACCAAAAGTCCAAGTGTGTCCTTCATCATACAGTTAAGCCCTTTTACTCATCTTAGCTACCCCTCTATCTTCCTTCCTTTCTGATCTTCACTTCTTGGTCTTAGCGCCTTCTAGTGTATTTTTGTTTTATTTAACTCATCCATTAATTTGGTTTCTCTATAATACTGAAATTGTGGAAGTTACACGTATTAGAATCAGCTAGGGCTAGGTCAAATCTCTGGTCTTACGCTCTGCACTAGAAGTAATTTGCCAATGTCTGTCTTCATTATAAAGTTGGGATGATGAATATCAAAATATTGTTTTAAGAATTAAATATAATTAGTAGCACGATAACTAACCATTTTGTTACAATAGTATTTGCATTTATCTTCAGGAAACTATAGCTCTTCCCTCACTTTGTTCATTCTATTTGTCTTTTTTTTTTTTTTTTGTACTTGTAGATGGAGAATAACAATTTTGAGGAACAAAATAAAAGCAAAATCATTGTTAAAAAGAAACCAAAGCAATTAAATCCTTTTCATTTAAAAGTGGGTCATGAAGTTTTAAGACAGAGGAAAAACTGGTGGAAGGATGGTCGTTTCCAGTCAGAATGGGTTGGTCCCTGTGTCATAGACTATATTACAGAAAGTGGATGTGCTGTTCTGAGAGACAACACTGGAACTAGACTTAAAAGACCTATCAAGATGTCTCACCTTAAGCCCTACGTGAGAGAATCCAGTGAACAAGGTAAAAATCTATCACTTCTCTACACTTTATATTCTTTGTATAAGGAAAGAAGTGAAAAATTGAAGAACTCTTCCCCCTCTTTGGTTAGTTTTCTTTTCGCTTCTCATTTGGCATAGTTTTAGATGTTAGTTTTATTAGAATATAAACTTTGGAACTGTTGGGCTTTTTATTTCTAATATATTTCATATTCTCCCACCATTCTTGTGGGAGATACTGAACTGCTTTCACAGAATTGTTTTCTCTATTTTTACTTTCACAAAACTTTATCATTTTATGCCTCATTTTAGAATGAAAGACACCAAAACAAACCTGTGCAGAATATTTATGTTTTCTATAATAGGGGACTTAAAAATACGTGATTAAATTTTAATGTTGTTTGATGGTCAGATTATGGTGGGTGCAGGGGGTGGTGGTGCATACATGTATATATTTACGTATACTCTGAGGTATACTAAGATTCCGTAAGGTACTATAAGAAGAGGTAATAGCACCCTAAATAAGGTTATACTTGTTCCCCAGTCTGAACACTCAGCATATCCTGATCCCTAGCCCTTTCTTTCCTAGATTGGAGCTAATGGCATTTTTGCCACTGCTTTCCCATTAAAGTCTACTTTATTGAGACTTTTATTTTTGTCCTAATATATCTGCTCCCTGGAGAGGGAGTTAATTGGTGCTTAGTCAGTTAATTTTGCTTTTTCTATTAAAAAAAGATGAAGCATCAATGTTATTTGAATATGAGTAACAATAATTTGGCACAACTTAAACTGATATAAACAACTGAGTTGTTTAATAGACTTAAGGGAACAATTATTACATCAGCAGTAACAGCAGACATAGTCTGCACTTACCCTATACCTTTTAAGGATATGCATCCCTTGGGATCTTTTCAATTATAACTCAACTCTGCTTCTGACCTGAGGCACAACTCTTGTGTTAAAAGCTCTTAGTACCTTTTCCTTCTCTAGTGACAGACTCAGTTGCAAACTTATCTTGAACTTGACCTTTCCAAAAGGTCATAGCACTTTCATTCTCTTTCTTATAAATTATGTCATTCCTTGTGCCTCCTTTCAGTTCTTAGCTACCCTTTGTAATTTCTCCATTCTACATGTTAAGTAGAAAAAAGATTATAGAGATACATGTTGTCCTTTCTGGTTTAGTGTGGTTCCCATCTTAGTCTTTGGAATTCAACATTTGCTCCCTTCTCATGTGATAACCTTCCTTAATGAATACAAACCTTATTTTTAAAGTGTTGCAGCCTTAAGATCTGTTTCAACATTTTAAAATTTCCTTTGTCAAAGACTTTCTTAGAAGGCCAGATGTTTGGTTCCTTTTGAATATTTCAGATTGCAATTGAGTAGATATTATCAACACAGAGGCAGTTTAATTTCTGCCTCTTACTTGAATTCTTTGCAGATGTTTCTTCTAACAATTTAAAGGATAGTGAAATATACTAGCCTACACATAAGGAACATGGGATTGATGGGTAGAATTGTTTTTCTGTCATAAACAAAGGAAGTGGTGAGCTAGATGTCCTGGAATGTGGTTCCTGATTATTACTTGGTCCTTTGTCTTACTTGCAAAATTCTATGTAATTGTGATTTCTGCCATGTTTTTCTTCGGTGTCACATTTTTCTGAACATCTAAACCTTAAGAACTGATTTTAAATAATCCTTGAACTGAATTTAAAGCAAGAAAAATGTCATTGGATGACATCATCGTATTTTTTTTGACATAAATTTAGGTCAGCTAGAGACAGAATTGTTTTTAATTTCTGTCTGCACTTGTCATTGCTACTCTTTTCTTGAGATTTCATAGCCGTATTAAAGACTCACTGTCCAAAGCTGATAAGCTTCTCTGACAGCTTCTTATCCATTCTTATCTGAAATGTAATGTAGAGTAACACATTCAGTACTAGGTCCATGATATTTCTCATTGCTATTTGAAGTAGGCCTGTTGTCACTTTGTCTAGTTCAATGCCAGGCACCTTTTCAAGACTAATTATTTTAACAAGAAATTTTGTGATATGCCCTATATGTATTTGCAATCAAAATGTTCTCCTTTGAAAGAAAAACTGGTATTGACTCACTTTCTATCCAACATAAATTTCTATTAGTTTTTGTTTTGTTTGGGTTAGGTTACTGTGATAGATTTGCATCTGTACCCCCCAAAGGTTTTAGTCTGCTTGGCCTTCATAGTTGAAAACCTTCATTTGTGAAATGACTTTCATTACTTTTTATGTTTTCTATTGCTGCTATAGAAAAATAATCACAGATTTAGTGACCTAAAACATGACAGTTTTTTCTCTTAATACTCCTGTTAAATTACAAGTCCAAGTTTGGCATTACTGGACTAAAGATCAAAGCATCTGTTGGGCTATGCTGTCTTCTGGAAGCTCTTGAAGAGATCTTTTCCTTGCCTTTCTAAGCCTGCCCACATTGCTTGACCTCTTTTTTCAGAATCAGCCCTTCACACATAACATTCCAACCTTCTTTCTTACTCTTCTGCATTTCCTCTTTATCTTCACCTTCCATGTGGGCCTTGGCTCTGTACCCACATGGAAAATTCAGGATAATCTCCTTATTTTAAGGTTAACTAGTTAACAACGTTAACTCATTACTATCCCAATTCATCCTTGCTGGGTATGGTAGCATATTCATTGTCCCAGGGATTAGTATAAACACATTTCTAGAAGCAGATCATTCTGCCTAACACTATTATAGTGTTTGTGAAACAAATCAAAGTTCAGGCCCTGTAGCATCAACCCTATGATCTTGAATTTGTTATTAATATGGTGTATGTAACCTGTCTTTGGTACCTTAGTTATATAATCTGCAAACTACCAGTCATACAACTTTGTTAAGTATATTGATTATTAATCTGACAACTCTGGTATCAAATTATAGTTATTGTATCATGACAGAGGGTGTACTGTACTAGAACAGCAAGACATTTTATGTTGTAGAATTATCAGGCCATATATAGGACTTATCTAGTCTTCTCTCTTCAGAATAAGAAAATTAAATATTCTAAAACCTTGTACTTTCTATTTGAAGAAATAAATTTATCTAAACTATTCAGACTTTTTAAGGCTTTGATTTTAACTCATTTTTTTCAGCAAATTTTGTAAACAAAATTTGAAGGTTTTTTGTTTTTGTTTTTACTTCTTAAAACTACATAAGAAAAGTATATCCTGCTGAAATGTCTTTAAAATTCTTTGATTTCTAAAAAATTAAAGACTTAATTATTTAGTATGTCAAAATTGAAACAGTGTTTTACCAAACAGATGTTATAATTAAATCAATAGAGTGAGAAAAGAAGAAATACTTAAGTAATGTCTATAAAGGAATGTAAGTGAGTAGTTTAATGTGATCTGTTTATCTGTCTGTGTTGAGGGATAAACAGGGCAAAAACTTACCTCGCTCTTTTCTGTGTGCTTATATCAAGATTATTTTAGATCACTACTATCTAATAGCTATATAATATAAAATTACAAAATGTGGTTTTTAATTTTCTGTAGCCACATTTAAAACTACAAAAAAAGTGAAATAGTTTAATGATATATGGTTTAATAGATATATTATTACATTTATTTTAATATAATAGATAATTTATTTATCCACTATATCTAAAGTATCATTTTAACATGTATGTAAGAGCTCAACAGTCTTTTTTTTTTTTTTTGACAGTCTTTTTTAAAGCTAAAAAGCATTTCTTTTGGCATAGTATACTTAGACCATTGTGGAGTAGAAACATATTTGACCTTTTCTGAATGAATAAGAATTTTGGCTTTTTTCCCTATGCAAGTACGCCTTGACATCTCCAAAGTAGTTTACCATTGCATATAATTTACATAGAACTTGCTGTGTTTTTCCTTGTTCTCTACAGTTTCATTACAGTACCTTAAAGTTTATTGCTTATTAAGAGAAAAAGGATATATATGTGTGTGTATTTTTCACATACATACACACATATATATAGCTTATATAGAAGCTCTTCCCTTTTAAATAAATGAAGTTGGTAGAGTTCTTTTTTTTTTTCTAAGCCAAATATAACTAAGAGATACTTAAGCTTAATGTCTGTGAATACATTTCCAGCAAATCAAAGTAGGAACTTAGAAGATTTTTTTCTAAAACAGATCTGCTTCATCTGTATGGAAAAATTCCATTTGAGACAGAAAACTTTCTTCATCAAAGATCTACATAAGGATCTTTGGAACTACCTTAAATTCTATGGTCTCTGTAGTCACTAATTCTTTGCAGCATTAAACATAGGGAATTCTCCCTGGCTTATTGGGAAAATTTCACGAGCAACATTTTTAATAAATTGTATTTAAAGTTCTTTTGATAACTACCCTTTATCCTTCTCCACTGTTAAAACAGGGTAGTGGTGAACTTTGGTGTTGAACCTCTAGCAACACATTTTAAAAGTGTTTTATGACTTTTCTTTTTTCTTGCTGCTCTTGCAGATAGCACTTCTTATGGGTTGTATGATATATTGTTTTATCTTTCAGAATTATTTCTCTTATGTAGCAGCTTATCACATACTAATATTTACAATTCATTTTCTTACCACCTTCAGTTACTATATTTTCTTCATAAATATATGTGTTTTCTTAACAGCATTTTAAACTATTTACTATGTTTACATTAATAAGAATTGGAATTAAACTTGGTAAATCCCTAAAAACAAAAACAAATACACTTTGTCTAATAAGGAACCAAATAGACAAAAGTAAATGTCCTTGCAAGCCAAAGTCTACTTAGGACATCTATTGGTAGAGAGACTAGCTTTGATTGATTTACTGAATTTTATAATTGAAAGTTGCTAAATATATATATATATATAAACTTCAGGGTTGAAATAGGATCATATTAGTACAGTGATGGCATTTTGCTCCAGGATATGTTAGCAAATTTTATTTGCTCTGAGGTACTCTTACTGATCTCTAAACTAAATGGCTAGTTAAATCTTCCTTTGCTATTTCTTGTTCATCAAATGTAAGAACCCTTTAAACTTAAAAATCTGTAAGTAAGCCTGTCAATGTTTTGGGATAAAATTCAAAAAGAATAGGTAAGGGACCAGAAAGTTTTTCAACTATTGTGATAGTTTCTTTTACCGTTTCAAGTAGAGGAAGATCTTTGTATATACATTCACTGTATAAATGCTGCTGCTTTGTCATCAGTTCAATATTCATGTTAAGCATTTTTTTTTCCTGACCATGAGGATATATTTGATTAAAATGGAATTAAATGCAACAAGGAAAATCCCTTGTCCATATTTCAGTGTGGATTTAGCTATATTTTAAATGTTTATTAGCATTTTGGTATAAAGTTAGATTAAGTAAGCTTTACTTTTTAGGCCTACTGTATCACAGCTATTTGTTTATATGTTCCTGTCCCATAAGCCTGGTGTAGGAACTTGGTTTGTAACTTAATATTGTAATGATTGGAGAATTCTCCAAAATTGTAAATACAAGGATTTAGCAATTTCTTTTTGCTAAACTATCTTTCAAAATCCCATTAAATCTAGAAATGCTTTGTAGGAGTATGTTAAGGATATTATTGATATCAAAAATAAAGTTTTATAGCTTTGTTTTTAATGTACACCTTCACTTTATGTCCTTCCACTCCCTTACACACCCCTAACAGAAACAGAACCCAGGGAATAGTAAGATTTGACTCTTTTGAATTCCTTGGTTTTTCCTGAGTTCTGTATGTGAGAAACTGTCAAACTTTTGTAATATTTGATTCATCCTGTAACATGTATATTTATTTACCATATGGGAACATCTACCAGAAATTAATTTGATATTATTTTATTTCTTGAGACTTTGTTCTTTATCTTGCATTCATTCTAAAATTATGTTTAATTATAATTATAAGAAGTAAACTTAATGATGTTTCTTCTTTCAGATAGTCTTTATTTCTTACAAGGCTCAGTAGTGGCAGATCATGACTACATTGGCTTGCCTGAAATTCCAGTTGGAGCATATCAAGCAAATATTCTCGTAGAAGATGCAACTATGGGTGCAGTCACTAATGAGTTACTGACATCAAGCAAAGATCGTGAAATATTAGAATATAGAAGTACCAAAATATCTCCATTGATAGAAGATCATAATGCTCTTGAAAAACAGACTTTCAGTCTGTTGGACTCTTCAAGCCAAGTACTTGATTACTTAAGTTAGTGATAGCAAATTCATTTAATTTGCTTGTTTAGAATGTATAACACTTTGAATCTTGATGTCTTTTTCTTCCAAAGGATTGTCTAGAAATGTGTCTTGACATACCCTCAATGACTAAATCCTGAAAGTTTATTTTATAATTATTTATAGAAAGTTGTTCTGTGTTTGAATGTTAGTACATATAAAAAAGGACAAAAGAGGCATATAATATATAAAATTCTTTTTTTCTCCCCTTCTAAAATGAGAACAAGCAAAGCTTGCTTACTTCTTAGGAAGTAAACTAAATTCCAGCTCAAAGCTCTTAAATCTTTGTTTGGTATTGATACCTTGTTTACAGTTTTAATTTTTCTGCAATAGTTTCCTCTTTTAAAAAATAAGTTTAAATTACCTAGAATGGGTCTAATAAATATTTATTCAACCACAAAAATGTATTAAATGGAACTTTTGTGTCATTAGAACTTTTATGAACAGTATTTTTAAAAAAAATCTAGATTGGTTTAATGAAGTCTTACATGATATTTGTATCCTTTTTGGCTCAGGATTAGAATCTGAAACTATATTGGTTTGAAAACAATTGTGATTTCCATAATACATATTAATACCAAAAACATACATTAATAAGCATTTTCCTACAATCTTAAGGAAGTGACATTGATAACTAATATCAAAATTTTAAACTATATGTAATACTAATATCTTTATAATAGTGAACAAATGTTTGTTGTAAAACACTTTGAAGAATACTGTGGGAAAATTAAAAGATGAATCAGATATGTGCCTCCTCCTTATAAGAGATTTACAGTCTGGTAAGGAATATAGACCATGTAAACCCTGCACGACACGAGTCACAAGTTACATACTAAATTCTGGAAGAATGCTTAGGTACACAAAAAGGAGGTTCTTTCTGTATAGGAAATTTATGAAGAAGGAGCTTATAAGGACACTTGGGCTTATAAAAGAAGGATCACTTGGGGCCCTCCCTGGTGGCACAGCTGGTTAACGCACAGCACTAAGAAACTAAAGCCACTTCCGCATGAATTTGATCCATGACCAGGAGCTGACCCACATGGCGCAGCAGACCTCTCCTGACCTGCCGGCTGCTCCCCTCAGCAGTCCTGACTTCAGCCATCTGCCTGTTCTGCGCCCCACTCTGTCTCTGGTGAATCCTCTCACCGCCCCTGCACCTCTGGCCTGCACTCCAGTGCTGTATGCATAAATAAGTAAATCTTTAAAAAAAAGGCCCTCCCTGGTGGCTCAGCGGGTTAAAGCACTGCACTAGGAAGCTTAAGCCACTTCCGCATGAGTTCGATTCCCACCTGCCCTGGAGGAGTCCACATGGCGTGGCAGACCTCTCCTGACCCCCCGCTGCTCCCCTCAGCAGTGTACTTTGTCGATCTGCCTGTTCTGCTCCCCATTCTCTCTGGTGAAGCCTCTCACTGCCCCTGCACCTCTGGCCTGTAACCCAGTTCTGTATGCACAAATAAATAAAAAAAAAAAAAAGTGGGATAAAGTGTGAGTGTGTGGGAGTGGGAGTCTTGGGTGGGGAAGCACATTAGGACTTGGAAGTCTATACTGCTTTTTCTCCCTCCACAATGACCAAGCTCTCATGCCCGGAATCTCCTTCTCAGGTACCTGCCTCAGCAGGGGTTATCTTCCAATTTCAGAAGAAAAGGACTGGGGTGATGGGGTGGTTACATTGTAACCAGATAAATCCTCAAACTTCTTAGTGGAAAATTTATAACTTAAATGTTTACATGGAGGGGGGATAAAGATTTAAAAGTAATGAGCTAAGGGTCCAATTTAATGTGGACAAAAAAAAAATAGAACAAGTGAATAAACCTAAAGAAAGCAGATGGTTTGGAATCATGATGATAATAGAAATTAATGAAATAGAAAATAAATATAGTAATAGGATGCACTGAGCCAAAAGTTGTTTCTTTGAAACACTAATAAATTGAGACAAATGTAGCAAGGCTAATTAGAAAAAAAACTAAACCTAGAGAATGTATAAACAACATTGTGATGTGGAAGAAGGATGAGAACCAGATGTGTGATAGAGATATACAAAGACGAGAACAGTACATCATTGCAGTAGATTTGAAATCTTAATAAAAGGCATGAATTTTAGAAAATTAAAACTGCAAAAGAGCTCAACAAGAAATAAGTTAGATGTTTTAATTAAACATTTATACATAATTTTAATCTTACAACATAATTCAAAGGGTAGAAACAGGCAAAATTCCTTAAGTCTTGTTATGAAAGTAACATCTTGATAGCTATGTCTACAATGAACAGAATGAGAAAAGGAAGTATCAGCTCATGTTTTCATAAATACAAATGGCCAAAAAATATATCAAACTCCAATCCAGTGACCTGCTACAATATGCATTGTGAACAAAATAAGCAGATTTTCAAAATATAAAGTTGCCATTTGAAAAAATATCTATATAACTAAGTGCCTCCAGTTTAAAAAGACCTGACCAGAAAGAGGTGAAATACACAAAATGGTTGTAAGTATAATTTAAGAAACTGTTTAAAGAAGTGTTACTGGAATCTCCAACGGACGGTAGGACACGCAGCAGTAGTCAGAATCCTCCACACCTGCTGGAGCGAGGAGAGCAAATGCCCAGGGAGAGAAGGAAATGTGGAAGAGGGTTTAGCCATCAGTATTTGTAGCCACAGGGATGTGGCCTCTGCCCAAACCAGAACAGAAGAGAACTGTGATGGTTGTCAAAACTGACCAATGATAGGACCACCCTCCCATCTTCCACTAGTATCTTTCAGGTGTCAGCCCCAATGGGAAACCTACCGTAGGAGGGGAGAGCTTGGATAGTGGAGATCAACCTCCAGGGGAATAGAGCAGAAAGGACCCGGATTTGTGGTAGATAAAGTTAAAAGTAGCCAGCAAAACTATAGGATCAGATGTAAAATGAAATATAAAAACTAACTGAGAAATGTTTTCTGCAAAAGGCTAGCTCGATAAATGTGTTTAGCTTTGCAAGCTGCACAGTCTTACTTGAAGCTACATAATTCATTATAGTGTGAATTACACAATGAATTATAATGTGAAAGTAGCCACATATACCCAAACAAATTTATGTAGTATTTTCCAATATATTTTATTTCCAAAAATTATGTGGGTTTTTTTTTTTTAAGGTCTGTTTACTTATGCATACAGAATTGGAGTACAGGCCAGAGGCGCAGAGTGGTGAGAGGATTCACCCGAGCCAGAGTGGGGAGCAGAACAGGCAGACTGATAAAGTACTCTGCTGAGTGGAGCAGTGGCCAGACTGGAGGGGTCAGCTCCCTCCCTGGCAGGGGATCCAAGCGGCTGCAGTTAACTTCATAGTGCTGCCTTTAACCCGCTGTACCACCAGGGGGAGCCAGTAAGCTGATTTTGATCTTGGGCATGGGGGAGGTTGAGAGGGGACTGAAGTTTGTATACTGTTGATCTAAAATATGCAAGGGGGGAAAAGTGCTGAATATTAATTGTTACTTGAACTTTTTTTTATTCCTGACAAACTAGAAGGGCACTTATTTATCCTAGTAAAGTATATGTTATTAAGGAAAAAGCCTTATAGTAAGCATTTTATATTTAATGAAGTAAACATTGAAAATATTCTCTGAGATCATGCACAAGACAATTATAACTAATATTATATAGGAGGTTCCAGACAGGAGATTAAGACAACAAAAAAGACAAAATCAAGGATTAGAAGGAAAATTGATCTTATTTGCAATATAAGCAAATTGTCCACACAAAGAGCTGATATAAATTAATATGAGAAAGAAACTAATGTAAAAATGAGCCCGAAGCATTAAACAATTATTTCATAAAAATGGCTCCTGCAAATATCCTTTGCCCTTATATACCAACTTTCCATCCTTCATCCTGCACTCTGCTCAGGGTCCTGGCCACTATGCACTAATAATCAGCAGAGTGTCAATTCCCACTGACTTCCAGCTGGATTTAGCCAATGAGGATTCCTGGATGAAGATCAGGAGGAGAAAGAAAAAAAAAGTAGGGGTATTTGTCATCTTCGTTCTTTTTTTTACCCTGAGTGCTTCAAATTTGAATATCAGTTCCTATTTTACAATATTCTTCTGGGTTTCCAGTAATTTTTCTCATGTTTGTATCTAAGAGTGAATACAGCTGTCTTGCTAATTGTCTGGGTGTTCCTATGACCTGTGTACACATAGTCCTTTTGATTATCCTAACTTTTGTTAATACTAATATTGCTAATATTATAATACTAATACTAATATTGCTGATACAGACAATATTTCTTGTTCTTTCTTAATGGCAAGAAAATTTATACCACTATTAGGTATGATATAAAGCCTCCTTAGTTGGGGTCTCCGTGGTGACGCAAAAGGTTAAGTCGAAACATTATGAAGCTATTGGCAACCATTGCAGCAAGAGTTGGATCCCCAGCCAGGGGGCTGACCCACATGGCACAACAGACCTCTGTCATGCAACCTTCTGCTCCCCTCAGCAGTGTATTTCAGTCTTCCTGTTCTTCTCCCACTGTCTCTGGTGAAACCTCTCACCATCCACCCTGCACTTCTGGCCTATAGTACAGCTCTTGTATTCATAAATAAAAGTCTTTATAAAACATACTAGATTAGAAATAATTTAAAATACTTGTAATACAGTTAGACAATACAGTTAGACATTACTGGTGAATTTGTAAGTTGATATAACTACTTAGAAAAGCAATTTAATAATATAAACAAAGTAGAAAATGCATAAACCTATAATCCAGAAATTGTGCCCCAAGAACTATGTTTATTGGAGAATTTTTTTTATAATACAAAACATTGGACTCAACATACATATCTATCAATAGAATGGATAGTGTCATGATACAGTGGAATATTATAATGCAGTGAAAATTAATACATACATCTTCAGAGAATACATGGATGGCCTCTTTGAAGATGGCAGCCTCTGAAAATGACTTGCTGCTGCTGTATGGCTCTGGCTCTACAAAATCAGCAAGTATCTGCATGAGATGGAAGTAGACTTCTAAACCCACTGATTCCTGGATAATCCAGGATAAAATGTTGAAGGGAGAGGAACCCCATAAGCAGGATGCCAGAATATTACTGTAGCTCTTATTCGGGCAAAATGAAAATTTGAAAGTATTAACCCCAACAAGCATCTAGAACATTTGTAGTAGGCTTGAAAACAGTGTAAATTAATTAACTCAGTGCTGATGCTATCATGTGGCAGAGTTTGTGCTACCACATGAGGATACCTCATGAAAATAACACAGCTTATTCCTCCACCTCCTTCCTATGACATCTCAAAGGCAGAAGGAGGTGGAACTTAAAAGTCTCTTAAAATCTGCTATGGATGTGATCACCGCCTCTGCACCTCTGGCCTGTACCCCGGTCTGTATGCACAAATAAATCTTTTAAAAACCCACTGTGGAAAATGGTGAAACAGATGATGAGCTTGTTCATGAATATCACCTCCTTCCCACACAAATGTAGGTTGGCATCCACTTGGGAGATGTTGAAAGCAGTGACCAGAGATTAAGGTTCTAAAAGAAATTACAGAGGTAACAACTTCTCACTCATCTCAAGATAGGCCTCTTTGAAACTCTGTTCTCACTTGGTACAGAATCTAAGCTGAGGTGATCCAAGTCTGGTGATCCAAGTCTGGCGACCTGACAATGACTGGTGTGATCACGGCAGAGATGTGGAGCGTTACCAGATCAGGGAATAGCTAAGACAATAACAGAGTGCCATTTTGATAGAGCATTTTAGGAAGCACAGGAACAAAAGGAGGGAAAGGATTACAAAGAAACACTACACTGAGCTCAGGAGTGAGCTGAGTGGAAGGACAGTGGAAGGACAACCAACTGAACAAGGGTGAGTCTTTACAAACAAAACAGGACTTCAGGGCGACCATCTCCACATCAAGGAAAGATGTGCAGTCTTACCCTCTCTGGGCTCCAGCTTTAGTAGTGTACAATACAAGCGAAGATGTTTCATCTTCTTTGCATACAATTAAGTGAG